AGAGAGAGAGAGAGGGAGAGGGAGAGGGAGAGGGAGAGGGAGGGAGACTGCTGCTCTAGAGTATCTTTAAGCTTTGTTGTGTTCACACTCAGCCTGTGTTAGTACATTTGGTGTATGTAAAGAAGAATTTTGAAGTTATTCTGAAGTTGTTGAAATAGTCACAAAAACGAAGTGGAGAAATATGAAAACATTTCTGATTTCTTTCTTTCTTTTATAGGAATCAAGAATCCAGTTTCAGTTGCACAAATGCTCTTGCATGAAGGGCAGAAGGGCAAGCTGTCTGCAGGCAGAATTCCTCCCTGGTAAGCACTTGGTACCTTTGACTTCTGTTTGGGTTGCTAGTGTTTTAAGGCTGCTTTAGTTCACTGGGGACACCTTCTCAAAGGATTGTGTGTCACTGAGTGGTCAGCTAGGGTTATTTTGTTGTTTACCTCAGAACCATGGATTTGAGGCCTAATGTTTAAAGTAATTAGTTTTGGGATGTTCTTAGAAAAATATACATTGCATATTATGAATAGTTCTGATTCAACTTTTACCAGCACTAACAATTAACAATATCTTATTCTTTTACCTTATTCATCTTACTGAGAAGAAGTAAAAAAAGGTTAAAAGGTCTTTAGAGCAGACTTGCAAGTTAGTGTATGTATAAGGGAATTCAGGCTTTGATAATGGTGTCATCTCAGTCATTATGGTGAGAAAAAGATGTACTGAGTAACTTGTATTGGGGCAGAGGGCTATATCATGTCCCAATAAGGTAGTCATGTTTTTTAGAAAAGTACAGAGTGAATTTAAAGTTAAAAAGTGGATTAGAAAGATGTATGGCTCAGAGGCTAAGAGCACTTGCTTACAGAGGACCCTGTTCAGTTCCCAACACCCATATGGTAATTTACACCCATCTTTAACTCTAGTTCCAATGGACTCATGTCCTTTTCTGATCTCAGTATATACCAGGTACATGAATGCTGTATAATGCAGGTAAAACACTCATATACATAAACTAAAAATCGATCTTAAAAAAATACATTATAGGGGCTGGAGAGATGGCTCAGCGGTTAAGAGCACTGACTGCTTTTCCAGAGGTCCTGAGTTCAAATCCCAGCAACCACATGGTGGCTCACAACCACCCATAATGAGATTCGATGCCCTCTTCTGGTGTGTCTGAAGACAGCTATAGTATACTTATAAATAAAATAAATAAATCTTTAAAAAAAATTATAAAAATTTCTTTGCAGAGTGTAAGGTCAGAAAGAGCCTAAAGATCTTTTTTTTGGTAAAAATTTGCTTTCTAGTCCTATTGCTAAGTACAAAGGAGGAGGGAGACATTAGTACTGATTTACTCCACAACACAGTATCTTGGAGTGAACGTTTATACAAAGTTTAAACTCTCACAAATGTAAAGGTTGAGAAGTTAAAGCTCTTAATTCTAGTTTGTTTGGGTTTGATATGGGCTTTTTCTTACCTTACAGATAGTTGTCCTCTCATTGGAAGTATATGGGAGAGAGGAGGTCACAGAGGAACAAAGGGGGGGGACAGGAGGGTAAGAAGATAGGAAAGAGGAGAAAGAGAGAAGAGGAAGATGTAAGAGGGAGATGGGGAGGAGACAGAGATGGGGGAAGAGGACTCATTAGAGAGAGAGAGAAAAGGGAGAGGAAGAGAGAGAGAGAGAGAGAGAGAGAGAGAGAGAGAGAGAGAGAGAGAGAGGAAGAAGTAGAAGAGGGAGGGAGGGAGGGAGGGAGGAGAGAGGAGCAAGGAGCAAGCAAGGGGAGGAATTGAGAGAGAGAGTGTATGAGCATGTGACAGACAGAGGTGAGTAGAGGGTGCCATTTCTTCTATAAGTGCAGTAATACTTGTCAGGAGGACTCTACCCTCATGGTTATCTCCCTCAGTCAATAGCAATAGATTTTTATGATGTAGAATTTCTTTCTTTCTTTTTGGATATGTTGAGATAGGGCCTCACTGTGTATGTAGATTTGCCTGACTGGGACCTCGATTTATAGATCAGGCTGACTTTGAACTCACTGAAATTTACCTACCTCTGCCTCATGAGTGTTGGTATAAAGGTGTTCACTACCATGCCCAGCTATAGTTTCTAAAACAAACAAACAACCCCCCAAAAATCTACAAAATAATATGACTAACAATTTGATACCACCTAAGTTAGGACATAAAAGATTTGAGGCTGTCCAGACTGAGCTTTCCTTGTTGAGGCAATTTTTGGAATTTCTTCTGTGCTGTTGGTGTCCTTTTCAGAAAGCCCTTGTCTATTCCTACACCTTGAAGTCTTCTCCCTATATCGTCTAATATTTCATGGTTTAAGGTCCTACGTAAGGGCTTTGATTCATTTTAACTTGACTTTTGTCATATGAGATAGACTATATTTTGTTGTTCTAGTTATAAAAAAATGAGTTTTCCAGCACTCTTTGTTGAAGAACTTGTGTGTGTGTGTGTGTGTGTGTGTGTACCACATGGTTGTGAGTGTAAACATTGATATTGATATAAATAGTATCCTGGGTAGTTAAATAGTGATGCTAGGTAGGTTAGTTAGGTATATCAAATATATTTGTTCTGATGTTGGGTCTTGTTATGCCCCTGAGGCTTTCTTAGAACTCACTGTTGGCCTAAGACTTACTTCTGCCACCTGAGTAAAGGGAGGACAGGACAGGTGTCTGTGACTGTGCCCTGCTCTCAGATATGCTTTTGATTTGAGATATTTCTTTCACTTTCCTCCCTTCACTATATCTTGCAAACATGTCACTGAAATGTTTCCATCCCAGTTTAGGACATTTTCCTAAATAGTACATTTTCTAGTTTGTTTCTCTGTTGCTACACTAATCATCAATCAGTAACTCCTTAGGGGAGGGAATGGTTTAATTGATTTTCCTTTCCATATCACAGTTCATCAGTGAGGCAAATTAGTAGGAACACAAGCAGGATCTGGAGGTAGGGAGTGAAGTAGAGACCCTGGAGGATTGCTGAGTACTGGTTTGAATTCTCTGGATTGGTCGGTACTTTGTTTATAAAATGCTTCACAGACATGCCCATAGGCCAGACTGAAGGAGCTACTCCATTGATGATCCCCCTCCTGGGTGTGTCAAGCTGAAGCTAATTCTCACTGTAGGTAGTATCTCCATACTCCTTAGTCAGTAAGGAGCAGCTCTGTTAGGCCCATGTAAAGTTCTATAGTTCTGTAACTCTCTGACTACTTATTTATTCTTCTGTGGTATCCAGTCTCCAGCAAATCGCATGCAGTCTAGTTTGTCATTTCTGACTTTTAGTTAGTTTCATACATTCAATTAGTAAAGGCTTTTGTCTTCATGAATGTATATGAGTGGGGGTTATAAATTTATTTTAATATCTTTGTTTACTGGTTTTATTATTTTTATTACTTTTAGATTGTGTTGAGTTAGTGATTCCCCCCTCCTTTTCTAGGTTATATTTTTCTGCTTGACAGTTTTTTTTATTAGATTGCCGGCATTGTGAGTTTTAATTTTTTTGTGTATTGAATATTTTTATATTTTAATAGACATTCTAAAAGTTTACTTCAGGATGTGGTTAAGTTGTGTAAAATGTTTGGTTCTTTTCAGTTCCTGCTCTAGACTTTGTTTCACAAGGCTAGGGAGTGCATCTATCTTTGAGCTAATTTTGTATTGTTATAGGTGAAATTCTTAGTACTATAGCCAGTGATACTAGTTTCCTCTGGCTGTTGGGAGCCTAAGGTGTTCTGTCTCTATCCGAAATTGGGATGATTTCCTTTGCAGTTGGTAGGTTTTGTGTTTCAAGGGTTTGGGTAATTTCCTCTTTCTTATAGGCTGTGAGCGCCATTCTGGGAATTACTAAAAAGGTGCTTTCTATAAATCTCTGGAGTCTGTCTGTGTATTTGGTTTCTCTGTGGTATTTTGTCCTGGAAACTCTAGCTGTTTTGGCTTCTGGTGGTCCAGTTCCATCTCTTTGCCTTAGAGACTGCTGGGCCCCTGGACTGTGGCCTAGAACCTCTCTGGAAATCATACAAGTTAGCTCTCTGATTGCAGCAAGGCATTTTTGTTTTTTTTTCTACAAGATAGCAGTTCTTTGTTACCTGGTGTGTAATGTCTATAACTGTTGATTTTCATATTTTGCATTTTTTCCATTGATTTAGACAAGAGACAATAGGATAAGTTTATTCTGTTGCTCTTACCTTGCCTAGCAGTGAAACATCTTTATATACCTGTAAGTTCACTGTTTAACTATAGTAGTTTAAAAGTAGATTCTTCTTGTACATGTATCGGTTTAACAAGATTTATCTTTTTTTGAGTTTATTTTTTAAAGACAAGGTGTTTCTTTTTTAAATTAATTTGACTCTTAGAAATCCATTCAATCTCACCTAGTTCCATATAATTTTTTTTGTATGATTTATCTCTTCCTATGTACTGAGGGTGACATTTCCTAGCCTCACAATGTGCTCCCTAATGAATTAGTCTGGGCCTGATGCTTTGTTACCTAATCTGGGCAATGATAATTGGATATATATATATGTATATGTATATGTATATGTATATGTATATGTATATATATATATGGGCTGTCTTAAACTGTTCCATAGCTTTTTAGGATAAGACAGCTTGAGATAATAGAACTTAGTATATGTTACAGTGTTAGAAATGTGTGATCCGTCCACATCACATTGTGCTTACAGCCGTCCAGTTACTCCTCACATGGCCATCTGCTTCCTCAACAAGTGTGGCTGTCTGCTTGCTGACTGCCCTGCTTGAGGCAGGAAAGCTATCAGGTACAAACTGAAGAAGCTCACATCCATGTGGTAGCTGTTAAAGCAGGAGGCCTGTCCCTTAGACAGAGTAGGTGCACACAAGAAGCCTTTCTAGTTAGACCTGAGAGGTCCTAACTAGAATGTTCATTTATCAATAACTCACAGGGGCAGGCAGGAGTGTTTTTATGCTAAGGATTTTTTTTTTGCTTAATTTTATTTTTTGGACAGGGACTCCCACTGTAGCCCATGCTGGCCTGAAGCTCACTATGTAGCTCAGGCCATCTTTCTGCCTCAGCTCTTAAGTTACTGGGATTAAGGGTGTCGGGTGCCATGTCCAACATTGGTTAGGTGGATTTTTGTGTTTTGTAATTTTTGATGGTTTGTTTGTTTAAGAAAAATCAATTTTTGTCTTAATGCCATGGTCCTTACCTATAACCATAATACTTGGGAGGCTACGTCAGGAGCATCGTGAGTTAAGGCCATCTGGGATCCACAGAGAGATCCTGTATCAACAGTTTGGGGATACATACTAAGATACTTGTAGTTGAATTCCAATCATATCTTGGATTGCCTTTAAAAATAATTGTGGAAGTGCTGTTCATGAGTAAAACAACAGCACGGTTAAGAATGCAAACTGATTATCTGTCAATTTCATTGACTGCTGTAACAAAATGTAGCTATTCATCACATGTATAACTTAAAATAGTAATGTTTTTCTCACAATTCTAAAGCTCAGGAGTCTAAGGCAGACAACTTAGCAGCTATAGTGTTCAGTGAGAGCTTAGTTCTTTCCGTGTGGATCCTGCTCTCTAAGTCATGTGGTAAAGGGCAAAGCAGTCCGGTGGATCCTTAACCCTATTCAGTAGGGCTCTCGGTGGCTTTGGGACCTAATCACCTAATCACCCCATCAGAGTTCATACTACCTAACACTATCCTAAAACTGTTCAGAACCCGATTTCAGAATATGAATTTTGTCAGATTGGAGGACATAAGTTTTCAAATCAAATTGGTCATGTATTTTTGAAAATTTTGTGATCAAAAAAGAATTGAAGCACGCTCAGCAGATTGTTGAGTGGGTAAAGTGCTTCAGTCCTAGCACCCAAGTAAAAGACCTGTGTCATACTGCATGCCTGCAATCCCTACTTTGGGGCTAGGGGTGCATAGAGACTGGTGAGTCCCTGCGGCTAACTAACTAGCCAGTCCTTCTGAAGTGGTTGAGCTGGAGGTTCACCCCGAGACCTTGACTCAAAACAAGGGAGGTAGAAAATGATAAAGGAAGAGATCTGGTGTTGACTGCTGGTCTCTTCATGTCCATGCATGGGTGCACATGCATCATACACATATCACAACATTTCACACCACACACACACATCACACACATTATACCCATATTGCATGTATTTTACAAACTATATCCATTATGCACACATCACACATACTGCATAACACATGTACACCACACACATCATACATATACACTGCACACACATTACATACACATTATACCACACGTGTTTTATACGTATTACACATATCATGCATATTCCATACACATTATATACCTTACATATCCACTGTACACATTACACACATTACATACATGTTATATACACCACATACATTATACATTACACATATATACATTACATCACTCCACACACAAATTCAGTTTTTCTTGTTCCTAGTGCAGTGAGGTCTTGCACTTTATGTTCATGAGCTTTAGGTAGCCAATAGCCTAATTTGTCTTCAATTATATGTATTTATGATGTACAATGAAATAATAGAAATGCCTTTTAAATGCAATACCTATTAATTTCCCCTATACTTTTTATTATTGCTTGAAAATTTTATATATAAATATAATGTTTTGATCTATTCTACCCCCATTCCTCCCCTTCAGCCCCTCTTCCCATTCCCTCCCAATTTCATGAATTTTCTTTTTTAAACTCATGGAGTCCACTAAGTAAGTGCCCAGGTGTAGAGTTCTCTACTCAAACATAGATGAGCCTCTCAGGGACCACAACCCCTCACAGAGCTTTCCCTTTCCAGGAGGTATCAGATGTCAGTAGATCCTTAGCTAGGGGCAGCATTTCCTGATGAGCTCCCTACTTCATGCTTGATGCTGTCTGGCTTGATCTATGAAGATCCACTTGCTGTTGCTGCAGATGTGCATCTGCTCTACTAGACACCTGTTTCACTGTAGTCATCCACCACATCTGGCTCCTATACTCCTTCCAGTCCCTTTTCTTAGATGATCTGTGGGCCTTGAAGGAAAGGAGTATGATACAGATGTTGCATTTAGGACTGAACACCTTGCTGTTGTGTCTGCATTGTGACCAGTTTTGGGTTATTGAATTAATCACCATCTTATCATCAACTGCAGAAATGAGCTTGCCTGATGAGGGTTGGAAGGTTCCCTTGTCTATGGGTGTAGTGATGTGTCTTTGCACATTGGTTTGATATTATATTCATCTAGCAGAATAACAGTAGTAGGTTCTCTCTTAGGTCCTATGACCTATCAAGCTTCAGGTTTTTGGCCTTGTTAACAGTGCTAGACATGTGTTCTGACTTGTCTTTTGCAAAGATTTTAATGGCTGGTTTGTTTGAAAATTGATTGGAGTGGGCATGAGTGGGGGTGGGGTGGTGCTGCACACAGAGCAGGGAAAGCATACAAATGGTATCAGTGAGGTCAGCACAACTCTAGGGCAGTTGAGGTTAGAGGAAGGACATTAGTGACATGCTTTACTAAAGGAGAGGTAAGGGGTTTTCTAATGGGTTTGCATGAATCTCCTTTAAAGTTCTCCCCTTGGAGATTAACAACAAATCTCAAAAGAAATTTCAGTTAGTACTTACTGTTCTGGAAAGTGATTTTTCTCCTTTCTACATGTCACCATATATGTGTATATGAATATATATACATACATGTATATTATGAAAACTTTACATTGAAATATCAAAAGCATTTCTAGGACATTTCATGTGATGGAATTCCTAGACAATAATATTTGATGGTAAGCAAAGGCTACTTATTTAGTATGCTTTATAGTTTCTATAATGACTTCTAAACATGAATATTTTAAAATTGCATAGATTGTATAAAAATTTGAAACAAGATCTTATATATTCTAGGTTGACTTCAACTCACCATCTGACTTAGGAGATCAAACTCAGGACTTCATGCATCCTAGGTGTACTAGTTAGGGTTACTATTGCTGTGGAGAAACATCATGACCAAAAAGCAACTTGGTGAAGAAAGGGTTTATTTGGCTTATACTTCCACATCACTGAAGTCCATCACTGAAGGAAGTTAGGACATAAACCTGGAGACAGCATCTGATGCAGAGGCCATGAAGGGTGTTACTTACTGGCTTGCTTCCCATGGCTTGCTCAGTCTGTTTTATTATACAAGCCAGGACCACCAGGCCAAGGATGGCACCACATACAATGGGCTGGGCTCACCCCCATCAGTTACGAATTAAAATGCCTTCCAGATTTACCTGCGTCCTGACCTTATGGAGGCATTTTCTCAATGGTGATTCCTTCCCCTCAGATGACTATTGCTGTGTCAAGTTGAAATAAAACTAGCCAGTAGAGTAGGCAAGCAATTTAGCAAATGAGCCACATTATCATGCTTTAGATTGGCTTTCTTTATATCAAAATTATGAATGTGAATGAATGAGAAATTAAGATGACAATGATTCTAGGTACTGAGATTGAATCCTAGATGACTATGTGAAGTGTTGAAAAAGGTTCAGCCTCAAACTTCTCTCTTGATCAGTTACTATTTTACTATCTTGTTTATGTTTTCACATTAATAGAAGGGCTTAAATAAATCAGTTTTTGTTGTTGTTGGTTTTTTGTGGTGGTGTTCTTTGTTTTGTTCTTAAAGAAGGAGATGCTAAAGATGCCACAATGATCACTCAAATCTTAATCTAAATTGTCATTTTAGCTTAAGCTTTATGTGACAGCTTTGGTGATCTAAGCAGTCATCATTGTTTCTTATGTGAAGCTAGATAATTTCAGTTGGCTCCTGTCTCCTGTCTCTTCTCAGGGTTCTTGCCATTGTAGTTATAATGTAAAGAAAACAGTAAGGGCAGTTAGCCCTTAACTTTTCTTTAGCATGTTTCTCACGTTTCTAGAATCCTATTGGGATTTTCATCATTTAATCTATACAGAGTTTTAGGTGTCTCAGGCATTCAAAATTCATAGTAAAATGAATATTTGAATAATTTTTGTGGTTGTTGCAAATTTTGTAATTACTGACCTTTTCGTACTATCAAATGTTGCTTTTTGATAGTTATCACAAGGAAATGCTGAATTTCTTACTGGTGTTAGTAATAACAGAATATAAAGATTTCAAAGGTATTACTCTTGAGATTGGTTTTAATAGTATATTTTTAAAAAATATTTAATTTTGTGTGTGTGTGTGTCTGTGTGGAAATACGTGCACATGAATTCAGATCTCTTGGAACTGAAGTCGTAGTTGGCTGTGAGCCTTCGTACATGGAGGCTGGGAAATGAGTGTGGGTCCTTTGAAAGAGCAATAGGTAGTCTTCACCACTGATTTCACCAGCTCCTTCTCTTGAGTTTTAATGTGGGAGTGATTAGAAAAACAGAAACAAAAGTTAGAGAACAGGAGACCTAACAGCCAGGCACAAGTTCAAGGGGTCCATTACTAGCTGGCTAGGATCTATAAGAGGTTTTCTGTGGAAGGAGATGAAGTGATTGTTATAGTTGCTGCTTACAGCTACTGTTTACCTCATGAAGTGACTTAGAGAACAGGATTGATACGTGTGTTGGCATGCTTTTTGAGGCCTTTTGAAATTAGTCTTTCATAAACCAGAAGTGCGCTATTCACTGTGTTGTATTAAGAACTTCAGTCTAAGGCTGGAAAATCCCTTCTGGGGTGTATTTCAGTATTTACTCACTAGAGTGGAAATGATTCTGAGCGTTCTATGTGCCTTCTTATTGCATTGAACTTAGGATCTAAACATGCTAGTGTGTTTGTATGTATCTAGATTTATTGCTTGTTTTTGAGTGACTATAGTTCTAGACAAGAATAACAATCTGAAGACATCCACTTAGACTCTTAACCTAATTGACTAGATACATACATTTTACAACTATGTGGATCAAAGAAAAAAAAATCTTACTCTCCCTAGGAAGTTACTTTTACTTTTTATTGAATTTTTAAGAATTTTTTCTAATATATACATTAGCTAAATCCAACAAAGAAAAATTTAAAAGGAACTTTGAGCATGCAGCTGTCCTATTTTGCACAACTCTAGAATTTCTTGTATCTCTAAGACTTGACTTTAGTTGTCACGTGATATTACTTCTATAACGTTATTGACTGTAGAAGATGCCACTATGCACTTTTTAAAAAATAACCTTTTTGTTGTTAGCTTTTTAGTTGGAGAAGGAGCCTACAGATGGGCAGTGGATCATGGGATACCCTCTTGCCCTCCTAGCACCATGACCACAAGTGAGTAAACCCTTCATGAGTTAAGCTGTACAAACAATGAGCCTAAAGTGGTACATCACTCCTGTTCTGACACATAAGTACAATGTCTATAAACTGAAATATGTATAGTTAAACATAGGTCAAGTTTACTGCTTTATCACCTTTTTATTCTGGAGGTTTCCTCTTTACTTTTGGTTTTGAGGTGTTCTTAGACTATTGGCCTGGAACTTACTGTATAGTTGTGAACTTGTGGAAGACCTCTGAAGTGCTATGATTACAAGTGTGAGTCACCATTGCCAGGTTTGTAAAATTATTCCCAAAGTATCATTTTTAAGTTACTTAAAATAATTGTGAATAATAAAACCATGTCTGGAAGATACTAGGAGGAAGGAAGGGGAGCTCTTCCTTAGCTCTTGATCTGAGGAAGAATTTCTTTTTGTTTTTTTCCTTGTTTTGTTTTTTCCTTGTTTTGTTTTTTGAGACAGGGTTTGTCTTTGTAGGCCTGGCTACTCTGGAACTCACTCTGTAGACAACGCTGGCCTTGGACTCAGAGACCCACCTGCCTCTGCCTCCTGAGTACAGGAGTACTGTAGGCAGGTACAGGTGTGCACCACCACTGCCTGGCTCCCTGTCTTTTACTTTTAAGAGTAGCTTATTTTTATTTTCTTCTGTATGGGAGTTTTGCCTGCATCTGTGTCTGTACCATGTGTGTGCAGTAGGCCAGAAGACGGCATCCGTTCCCCTAGAACTGGAGTTATAGGTGGCTGTAAGCTACCACTAGGTTGCTGGCGATGGTACCTGGGTCCTCAGGAAGGGCAGCAAAGGTTGTTAACTGCTGAGGTATGTCTTCAGCACCTTGCTTTGTATTTTGAAGCAGAATTTCATTCATCCTGTGACCCAAGATGACCGGAAACTTACTGTGGAGCTCTGGTGGTTGGAATGAAATTGGCCCTCTTAGGTGAATATATTTGAATGTTTGCTGGACTGTTTAGGAAGGATCAGGAGGTGTGGCCTTGTTGGAGGAGTTTGTGATTTGGTGGGAGTGGATTTTGAGGTTTTGAAATTTTAAGCCAGGCTCAGTCTTGCTGTTTTTCTGCCTACACCATGCTGATCAGATATTCATTCTCAGCTTCTGCTCCAGTGCTATGCTTGTTTGCTGCCATACTCTCCACACTTGGTCATGTACTAATGACATACTGAAACTGTAGGCAAGTCCCCAGTTAAAAATTTGTTCTTCTACTGCCCAGTTGCTCAGATTATAGGCTTGGGGCACCATGACTCCTGACCCTAAAGATTTAACAACAAGCCTTTTAGATTTAAATGTAACAAAGATATGAGTTAAAACTGAGAAACTTAAGTAAGACGAAAGGACACATTGTTCAATATGAAGAAGTGTTACCATTCTCACTGATAGGCACTGGAGTCCTCTTTGGTCGACCTTTCTGTCTTTTGTCAATAGCATTCTACTTGGATGAGATGACAGCTCATTGTACTTCTGATTTGCTTTTCCTGATGGTTAGTGATGCTTGCATTGTTCACATACTTGCGGGCCCTTTGTATATTTTCTTTGAGGAATGCCTATTTAAGTCACTTGTCCCATATCTTTTGTCCATTTAAACAACCTGGTAATTTGTATTTTTTGTTGTTGAACTTTTGAATTTGCTATATACTCTAGATAGTAACCTCTAACGTTCCACATGTTGTCTATGCTGTTGATTGCTCCCTTCTCTGGTAGAAGCTTCTAAGTTCAAAGTTTGATATAATCATGCTTGTCTCCTTTGTTGCCTGAGCATTTATGGTTTTATTTAAAAGCGGGCCTATATCATTACACTGAGGCAGGGAGAGAGGGAGGGAGATAGATATATTCTGGGATTGAATAGTTTTAGGTCTTGTGTGCAGAACTGTCATTTTTCCCTCTTATTGAAAATAGATTTTTTTGAGGGGGGGGGCACATAGTACATTCTGATTATGGTTTCCCCTTCTTGTACTCCTCCTAGTTTCTCCCTAACTCCCATCCAGATCCACCCCCTTTCTGTCTCACTGGAAAACAAACTTGCTTCTAAGGGATAACTATAAAATAAAATATAATAACATAAACCAATAGCTAACACCTCACAATAGGACAAAACAAACATACAGAAGGAAAAGAGCCACAAAAAGGAACAAGAAACTCACTCATTCGCACACTCAAGAATTTATAAAAACACAAAACTGGAAGCCATAATGTATGTTCAAAGGACCATATTTGTCTTTCTGGGCCTCAGGATGATTTTTCTAGTTCCATCCATTTGCCTGTAATATTCATGCTGTCATATATTTTTGAATTAAATTTTGTGTTAAGAGAAATTGTGTCATTTTTTAATTGTCTATTTTTTATACTTTCTTCCTAGCAGTAGAAACTTGGAATAGTTATTCTTGGTACCTCTTTTGGAAATCACCTGGCTGTAATTATACTGAACAGTTTCTGGGCTCTGTAAGCTGCTTCTTTGATGTGTGTGTGTGTGTGTGTGTGTGTGTGTGTGTGTGTGTGTGCGCGTGTGTTTGTGTGTACATGCGCACGCGCATATGTGGCATGCTTGTGTGTTTGTGCTTGTGAATTTTGGTCACTGCATCCTCTTCTGTTTACTATGGTTTTGTAATGTATTTTTCAAATGAAGTTGTATGATGCCGTAGCTTTGTTTTTGCTAAGATTGCTAGGACTCCTCAGGATCTTCTATAGTTACAGGTGAATTTTATGATTGCTTTCTCTATTTCTATGAAGAATATTTTTGGTATTTTCATATAGATTGCATGAGATCTATGGACTTGCTTTAGGTGATGTAGATATTTTCAAAGTATTAGGTTGTGGTTTTCTTTTTTGAGAATGCATCCTTTTAAATTCTTTTCAGTGTTTTGTAATTGTCACTGTAGAGATTGCTCTCTTCCTTAAACTTATTCCTAGATATTTCTACTTTTATGATAATTGTAAATATGATTCACTTTTTATGTTTATTTTTTCACTTCACAGAAATATTTCTTTATAACTTTTAGTAATTCTGTAGAGCTATAAATGCCTAAGACATTTGTTAACAAATAACGTGTGTGTGTGTGTATGTATGTGTGAGGTTTAAGAATATGTTTCCCTATTGTCTTTTAGAATAAGGCTTAATTGATAAAAACATATTTGATTAGTTCCTGAGACTATCACAGAAAAGACTTTTATTACACAAAAATTCCTTCCATTTATAAATTCTAATATTCTCCATGTGGCTTTCAGAATTCTTCTCATGCAAGTTGTGGTCACTGGTAAGCTCGGCAACAGGAAACTCTTGCACATTTCACTTGATGGTCAGGAACTCATCAAATATGACCTAACTAGCTCCTAGGCCCTTCCAAAGACACTGAACATCCCAGGTCATGAAGATAATCTACTGTTACATAAATTATAATGAACTTGTAAAGGAGACATATTTGATGAGATAATGGTGGAGAGACGTCTCCTGATGAGCTCTTGTGGGCCATGTGGGTTCTAGCTCAGGCCTCTCATAACTTTTTATAAAAGAGCAAGTTATTTGTGCACAGTATACTTGCTGCTACGTGTTTCAAAATTGTTTCTTCTTTTCTTACATTTTATTTAGTGTGGGTATTTCTCTCTGTTGTATCTGTGTATATGCACACATATCATGTATGATATGTGTGGATATCATAGGCTTTGTCCTTTCAACATGTGGGGCCTGGGGATGGAACTCACTCAGATCATCAGGCTTGGTGGCAAAACAGCTTTTGCCTGCTGACACATCTTGCCGGTCCTGCTGCTGTTTCTGCTGTGTCCTCCCATGCTCTAGCTCTTGTCTTTTCTCATGGTTGGGTAGGGTCTTAAGGCCTCTCTGTATAAAGTCTGCCGTCTACAGCCTAGCTGATTAGACTTCCTTCTTTGGAATTTGATACTTTCTCATTTTCTTCTTATTTAATCTCCTATGGCATGTCAATAAAACAGGTGTTGTGAGCCACATGTCCTGCTCTCAGAGGAGGTTATCCACACACTTGTCATCATTCCAGCCCGTACTGTGATGATTCGTCTAATCCTGTCAGGGTTTTTATCATGAAGGGCTGCTGAGTCTTACTGAGTGCTTTCTTCTATGTGAATTGAGATCATATTTTTTTCTTTATTCTCTTTATGTGATATCATACCTATATTGATATGTTTGGTATGTTCTTGAATCATTGGGATAAATCTTACTTGATGCTTTGAAGCTGTGGGAGTTGGTATGTTACTGTTTTGATAATTTTGATATCTGTTCATCAGCAGTGTTTTGGTTGTAGTTATTGTGTTTTTGATTCTTGTGTCAGGGTTATGCTGACCTAGTAGAATTAATTTGATAGAGTTTCTTCTTTTTTTTGGTTTATATTTGGAATAGTTTAAGAATTTGCAATTTATTTTTCTTGAAATATTTTGTAGAAATGAGCAGTTAACCTCAAGTTATAGACTTTTCTTTGGTGAGAGATTCTTCCACACCCTGTGTGCTAATAATGTACTGCCTTAGGGTTTCTGTTACTTTAAAGGGACACCATGACCACATCAACTCTTATAAAAGATAACATTTAATTGGGGTTGGCTTATAGTTTCAGAGATTTAATCCATTATTTCCATGGAGGGAAGGATAGGAGCATACAGGCAGTCATGGTGTTGGACAAAGAGTTAGAGATCCATCTACACCTGGATCAGCAGGTAGCAGCAAGTGACCTTATCTTCTGAGACCTCGTTTGCCTCCACACTGACACATTTCCTCTAGCAAGGCCACAGTTCTTAACACTGTCATTCCCCATGGTCCAAGCATTCAAACACATGAGTCAGTCTGTGGAGGGCATTCCCATTTAAACCATCACAGGGACAAACTCCAGGCCTCATACATGTTGGGCAAAGGCTTTACCATTGATCTGCACTCATCTTCAAACCATATGCAACACTAACCTACTGCTTCTGTTTCATTACTTGTTTTAGTTCACTGTATATTTTCGCAGTCTTGATCCAGGCTGGCTGTATTGTATATGTCCAGGGCTTATCTCTGTCGTCTAGATTTTCTAGTTTGCAGGCATATAACTATCAGTACAATTTTTCTGGTTCATTGTATTCTTGTGATATCACTTGTAATGTTTCTCCTTTTTCACATCAAATTTTATTTTTTCTTTTATCTAGCAAAAGGTTTGTTGAAAATAATTTGTTATTTTAAAAAATTTGAAAGTTTCTTTCAAAAAGCAGCCATCAATTTGATTATTAGTAGTTTATTTCTAGTCTCTATTTCACTTATTTGTGCTCTGATAGCCAAGATTTCCTTGGGTTTGGTTGTCTTCCTAGTTCCCTAAGATCAGGCTCTTTCACACAGGAATTGACTGCAGCCATCTGCGTTTATTGTACTGCATTTGATAAATAAACAGACTGTGGCATGCAGGGTTTCCATCAGCTTGAGAGACTTCATGATTTCCTTTTGATTTCTTCAGGACCCGTTGGCTGATCCTGAGAATATTGTTTAATTTTAATGAATTTGCCTATTTTCTATTTTTGCTTATTCATTTCTAAATTTTGTTCTGCATCTTATAGAAGATTTGTGTTAAGATTTTGGTTTTTAAAGTCTTGAGACCCATTTTGGTGCCTAACTTATAGTCTAGGTTGGAGAACGTCCCGGTGTTGATATATTTATGTATTCTGTAGACGTTACATCAAACTTTAGGGTTTTTTTTTGTTGTTGTTGTTGTTGTTCTTGTTGTTTTGTTTTGTTTTAAGAAATTTCATTCTGTAGACCAGGCTGGCCTTGAACCCATAACAATTCTTCTTCCCAGCTTGTAGAGCGCTGTGATGATAGGTGTGAGCCACCATACCAGGCTCACATACTCAGTGATTTTTATTTTTTTCAATTTTTTTTTTTCTGTTTGGATAGTCTGTGGCCAAATGCCAAAGAAGAAGAGTGTCCCGGCCTGCAGGGGATTCAACGAGACCCTGGGGAAGGGGGTAAAAGAATGAAGGGACAAGAGACACAAAGAATGAGAACAAGTCTGGGGTTCTGATCAAGCTTTGAAACTTTAATTTCGAGGGCAGGTTATAAAGACACAGCAAAACGGGAAGTTTAGTCGAGGGTCATTGCTTAGGGCTATCCCACTATCGAATCATCATTGTCTAAGATCATCCTACTGTCATATCCTCATTGTCCAAGACCATCCCACTGTCATTTCCTTATTGTCCAAGACCATCTCACTGTCGTAACTGGCTCCCAGGAAATACCAGACGTTCTTTAAGTTCCTGGGACCTGAGACTCGCAAACCTTGTACTGATGAGGCTTTACAGAACAGCAGGTAATTTCCTGAGGTTCTCTTAGAACAACAGGTAATTTCCTGGGTTTGGCCCCCAGCAAAGAGGAATGTGTGCTGGCTACAGTCTGAGGGACAGTGTCCACTGGTCAGGAAGCAGAGAGGCACAAAGACTGGTGCTGAGCTTGCTTTATTCAGTCCAGGACACCAGACCATGGAATTCAGGGCTAGTTTTCTATTCTAAGTTAAACCTCTCTAGAAATACCCTCAATAGATACAGGCAGAGCTATGTTTCCCTGTTATTTCTAAATCCAGTTCAGTTGGCCGTGAAGATTAACCGTCAGATACATTGGGGTCACTTTTTTGTCCTTCAGATCATACAGATAACATAAACTCTTCTCTACCCATGCATCAGTGGCCTTGGTTAACATTTCCTTTCCGCCGGGCGGTGGTGGCTCACGCCTTTAATCCCAGCACTTGGGAGGCAGAGACAGACAGATTTCTGAGTTCGAGGCCAGCCTGGTCTACAGAGTGAGTTCCAGGACACAGCCAGGACTACACAGAGAAACCCTGTCTCGAAAAACCTAAAAAAAAAAAAAATTCCTTTCCAAACTTTCCCCCTTTACATCTAGAGACAAGGTTAAGGCTTACAATCTTACTTCTTAGTGTGTGGCAGCTTGTTTTTACCTTCCTTGAGGTGGATCGACTTCTGGGATTCCCTTTTTTTCTCGTCATTCATCTCTAGTATACTTTCAGAGTGGTGTTCCCAGGTGTCACCTCCCATGTCTGTGTACTGAGACTTAGAGAACCATACAGCTGAATGGTCGTGGAAGGTTTCCCTGGGCCCTGCCTACCTTCAGAACTCAGTTCTTTGGTTTGATCGTTTCCCTAAGTTTTTAAACTTGTACTGTTTCTTTTGTTTTTCTATTTTGTCAGTGTACATTGGGAAGCCATTTAAAAACTCAACAGTTCTCAGTCTTCAGTGGATTTTTGTGGAGAGGCACTGTTTAGGGTATCTCGCTTGCCTTCTTGTTCTAATAATTCTCAAATATTTTTGTTGCTCTCTTTTGTAGGATTCAGCTTAGCAGCATTTAAAAGGAACAAGAGGAAATTAGAGCTGGCAGAAAGGGTGGAATCAGACTTCATCCAGCTGAAGAGAAGAAGACAATCAAGTACAAAGGTCAGGAGGTGTCTGAAGAATTGGCTGATGCATGCAGTGATATTGTTGACCTGCTTTTAGAATAATACAGTCCATTTGAAATATAGCATATTCCATATACGTATATTAAAGCAGAGCCGAGAAGGCGGGGCTCATTAAGTAAATGAACTTCCTTAATGTATTTACTGCAAATGGTTCAACTGATGACTCCAGTTTTCCCTAGAACCCATATGACAGGAGAAAACCAACTCCTATAAGTTGTCCTCAGAGTTTGACACATGTGTTGTGACATTCTCTTGAGCATGTGCACATGTGCATGCATAATACACATACAAAAATTGTAATTTAAAAATTAAAACTCTAGCTGGGTGTTGTGGTGTATGCCTTTACTCCCAGCACTCCGGGAAGCAAAGGCAGGTAGATACCTGTATTTGAGGTCATCCTGGTCTATAGCGCCAGTTCCAGGACAGCCATGGCTACACAGAGAAAGCCTTTTTTTGGGAAAAAAAAAGGTTTTTTTGTTTTGTTTTAATGTGCATTGATGTTTTGCCTGCATGTATGTTAGTGTGAGAGTGTCAGAACTTGTAGTTATAGACATTTGTGAGCTTTTATGTGAGTACTGGGAATTGAACCCTGGTCCTCTGGAAGAGCAGCAATTGCCCTTAACTACTGAACCATTTCTCTAGCCCCTTTCTTGAAAATTTTATCATGAAAAGAAACAGTGAATTTAATTTAAAAATGTAAACAAAAATTAATTTTAATAATATAGTTTAAGCTACTGAATTGAAAATGTCTTTTGAAATATAATCAGTTAAAAAATTAACAATGAGCTACTTCAAAGTTTTGTAACTGTTGAGGGTTGGTAAGATGGCACAGTGGGTAAAGGCACTTGCTACCATTTGATCCCCAGGGCCCACATGGTATAAGGACAGAACATATTTGTGAAAGTTGCATGCTGTGGCATTTCTGTATTTAAACATATAGATACAGTTAAATAAATAGACATATAAATGAATACATGTAATAAAATTGACTTGAAAATGTGGATTTATTTATTTAGTTATTAGAATCATATTTGGCAGTGACTGAAAATGTTTTTTAAATTAAACTGAATCAAAATTGAATAAAAGAAGATATTCAGCCTCTCAATATTTGCCCATTCTTTGTTTCATTTGCCTAGTAGCCACAAAATGCATAGTAGTGCACAAAATGCCTAGTAGCCACACGGCATTTTGTCCACATGTATTGTTTTGGTCTTCTCGTACTTGCTTTTGATAGTAGAGTGAAGTTGAAAGCCACAGCGTTCTTCATCCTATTACCTTAGAGTTTACTAGCACACAACTTTCGATTGATGTGTCAGGTCCTATTCTGTATGTACCTTATCTGTATCATAGAGTCCTTCTTTAATGCCTCATGAGCTGATTTATGCTTTCTATCAAAGATTCATGTGGATTCCATAAAGTATCAAATAAACCATCTTTCATAATAATAGGTATTTTCTCAGTATGTTTTCTCATATGATAACTAATCAAACATTTTGGTCCAACTGTGCTTATATAGCTCATAATATAGGTTTTAGAATGCAAATAAGCAAATTAATATATAGATTTTGATGAAAGCTTGTATAGTCTGTTCTGTTTTGTGTGTGTGTGTGTATATGTGTTTGCATTCTTTATGATGTCTTGGTGAACAAATTTAGAACTTTTTGCCCTTTAAAAATGAGAGTTTCTGGGTTTGTTTGTCTGTAAGCCTTGCTTTCAGGAGTTTGACCGGATGGCTCACAGGCTGTAGAGTAGGACCTGTCTCTAAAACAAAGTGCACAGAGTTGACAGTTTCATCAGTTTTCATAACTGTATGTACTCTTGCAGCCCAAGTCAGATCAAGCAATACACAGCATGCCTGGTTTTCTTGTCTTTCAGTTAATCCCTCATCTAGATAGTAGCTATTCTTCTAGTTTTTTACTGCCATCGATGCTTTATGTTGCTGTCATAGGGAATGTGGTTTTTTTCTATGCACTTTTTTTCACAGGATATTTCCAGATGTCCCATCACTGGTTCCTTTAGAGGTGTGTGTGTGTTGGGGGGGGGGACAGAAAACCTCTAAGTAATATCCTAATGTGCATAACTATAATTTGCTTATATTTTCTTCTGTTGCGATTGGTTGTTTCTGGGTGTTTACTTTCTGGAACAAAGCTCCCATGAAAGGCTTACACAGTTCTTTGTTGTGACTATTTGTTTATAATTTTATGCATGGAAGTATCACTGCTTTACCTATTCAGGTCATTAGGTTTTTTTTTTTTTTTTTTTTTTTTATTCAGAAAGTGATTTGTGACAGCTAATAAGAATACAGTGTGCCGGGCGGTGGTGGCGGCGCACGCCTTTAATCCCAGCACTCGGGAGGCAGAGGCAGGCGGATTTCTGAGTTCGAGGCCAGCCTGGTCTACAGAGTGAGTTCCAGGACAGCCCGGGCTATACAGAGAAACCCTGTCTCGAAAAACCAAAAAAAAAAAAAAAAATACAGTGGTGAGCAAAATGCTCTAGTGAGACAGTGATTGGGAAATACATACCTATAATTAAGGTTGTTATCATGTTTCAGTATGTTGTGTTTTTTTAAGAAAAAAGAAAAGACCAAAATGATATGATATATAGTAGCCTAGATATGAGAGTATGAAGGTAGATTGTGTCCATTAGGATGATCAGCAGAGATCTACTTGAGCTAAAATGTGAAAGAGTGAGCTTTATAAATGGTCAGCAGAAGAATACAACACCCAGAATGCACTGTGTGTTTAGAGGCCATTGTGGAGGTTGTCATAGTGGGGTAATGAAAACGAGAGCTGGTGTGCTTGAAGCAAAAAGGGTGGGGAGGGTGGTGTGGAGTGCAGCTGAAGGGGCAGATAGGCTAGGTCCTTCTGCATGGAGTGCGCGTGGAAAGGAGTTTCCGCTTTATTTCAAGAGCTACCCTTCAGTGTGCTGTGCTCCCGTGCTGCCTGCAGTTGAATCCATCAGTATCCTCCACCAGTATCCTTCTTGGATTCATTGCTTTTTATTATTAAAATTACATAATCTGTTGTTTCATGTTAAACCTAGGAATAATGAGTTTAGAAAGACAGTTGTTTATTGAAGACTAAGGATTATATGAATACTGTCTTATGATCTACATTCAATGGAAAGGCTTTGGTTCTATCAAAAGGTCAGGCTAGGCATGTATCTCAGTGCTGGAGCCTTTGCCTAGCACATAAGGCCCTGGGCTCAGTCCCCAGTGCCATGAAAAAAAGGATGAAAACGTTAAGGTGTTGTTGAATTTTATATCACCAGCAAAATACTGAGACAGTTTTCTTATGAGAAAGTTTTCTTTTGGGTTAGAGGTTTCATGAGTCCACTGGCTTTCTGCTGTCATGCCCCTAAAAAGGTCGGTACATCAGAGCCACTTCTTGGCATCCTAGAAGTCAAAACAGAGAGAATGGGCTAGGCTCTCCATGTCCTCAGGGAGGACCTAGTATCCAGGGTTTTCTTCCCATCTCTTAATAGTTCCACGACCTTCCCAGCAGTGCCCAAGGCTAGCAACCAAGCTGTGATAAGTAGAAGAATTGATTGTGAAGTTGGTTATATGAACAATTACATGTTCACGGACAGTAGTTTTATAGACAGAGCAAGAAGGTGATATCTATGATGAAATTATTGATATAAAAAGGAATATACACCCATATTGATACACACCCTAAATAGTGAGACTGTGAGATATTTGCACCTGAATCTCAAGCCAGTTCACGATGTAGAAACCAGGAGACAAGGAACCACCTGAAGAAAAAGGTGACGCAAAGGTACCCTATCTCTCTTTGTGTGAGAGAGAGGGGGAGAGGGGGAGAGAAGGAGAGAGGGGAAAAGAGAGAAGGAGAGAGGGAGAAAGAGAGAGAGGGAGGGAGGGAGGAAGTGGGTAAGGGAGAAGAGAGAGGACTTCAGGAGGAGCATTTATTTCAAAGAAAGTCTTTGCTGGGTCACATACGCTGAGGAATGGCTGCAGGGTTTGGCATGGCAGTGGTTGCAACCTGGAGACTGTTGGTCTGGGTAGATCATATTTGTGACATGTAGACTGGAGATGGGGATAGTGTGGGTTGATGAGGTGGGGGTGGGGTGGGAAGAAGAGGCAGGATAGCTTTTGAGAAGTTTTATCATGGAAGTGAGAGAGACAGTGAGGAAGAGTTGACGCCATCACACTTAATTTCTGTGAACTAACTCATTTTTGTGAACTTAGTTTCTAGCTATAGGTTTCATAGATTTTAAGGTATAGAATTTTAAAGTGAGAACTATAGGTTTTTAAGACTTATGTATTCTTTGTGATTGTATTTCTTTTTTTCATCACTGCTTTTTTTTGGTGACTTCTGTGGTAGAAACAGGAAAGATAACTATTTAACTTACTATATTTTAATATGAAAATAGTAGTAATTGTTTGGCCCTGTTCTCTCTGAATGGGCTTACTTAGTTTTTCTTCTATCTCTTATTGTATATAAATACCCCATACTTGTGTTCTGAGATAAAAAGCAAAAGGTAACCTAGTCAGCACTAATTTTTATCGTAGTTGGGTGAAGAAACAGTATTCTTGGAATGATTCCATTAACTCATTGATCTGTTTCTGTATGTGGTTCATGCCACAGGAAGACTAAGTGATCCATGGCTGAGAAGACATTTACATTTAGAAAACAGACACTGTGCATCTAGACCATAGTCTATATTTCATAAATATCAATTTCAAACAGTTAGTCCTGGATATGATTGGAAGGAACCCTTGTTCTTAGAGTATTAAAAGAAGTTGGGGATATTGTTTGATTTCAACATTTTTGATGTTTCAAACTCCCCTTTCTCTTCTCATTCTTCACAGCATATTGCTGAAATAATTTCCATCTCCTTTTCTTTAGTTACAGATTCGACAGTTGAGTGTGCATAGTTATCCTTGCTTCCTCTCACCACATGCATAATGTAATTTAAGCGTTTAGTTAATTTTTGTTGGCTTGTGGGTCAATGAGC